CCCCCCCACTGTGCCCACTCAGCAGCTTAGGAGTGGGTTATAAATAGAGGCTGGGGTAAGTCCTGGGCCGAGGGAACAAGGCAGATTACCCACTGATTAGCAGAGAGTGGAGGATTTGCTGGCACGGAAGGGCCTGGCTCCTGGGGGTGGCAAGAGCTGGGTCAGGGGCCCCTTGGGGGGCAGTGTGTAGGGGTCCACAGAGTGCCATAGGTTGCTGGGGCAGGGTTCCCCCACCCTCTGAGAGATGCCTTTCAGATCTTCTCGAGTCCAGAGAGTTCTAGATGAGACCCCCTCTGGCTTCAAGGGTTCCCCCGAAGCGTGCCTCCCCATCCGCCCCAGGAGAGGCGTCAGGGGCTTCCCCATCTCCTCCCTCCAGGGGTCAACGTCTCAGCCAATCAGGACGAAGAACTGGATCATGAGACCTTCCTGATGCAAATTGACCAGGAGACAAAGAAGTGCACCTTCTATTGCAGCACCGGGGGCTACTGGACCCTGGTCACCCATGGGGGTATTCAGGCCACAGCCACACAAGTGTGAGTGCACACGTCCCCACCTCCACCTCCACAAGGACCACGGTAGCAGCGCAGTCAGGGGAAATGACCACCGGGGTGGGGGGCAGTAGCTCTTACCGGTGGTGAGTGTGTCAGTGGAAGGCAGGCTCCTGTCCCACCCCCTGGGACCAGAGGGAGATGGGGAGGCTAGACCCTGCATCCCCATCTCCAGCTGCTCTGAGGGGACCTCGCCCTGCTCCCTCCAGTTCTGCCAACACCCTGTTTGAGATGGAGTGGCGTGGCCGGCGGGTGGCACTCAAAGCCAGCAATGGGCGCTATGTGTGCATGAAGAAGAACGGACAGCTGGCGGCCATCAGCGAATTCGTGGGTGCGCACTCCCTGCCTGCCTGGGGGGCTGGGGCTGGGTTTTCTACCCACGGCCAATGCCGGCCCGGAGACTCCATCTACACCAAGAGCTGGCCCCTTGCCCTCTCCATGGAACTGCTGCTGTCCTGGCAATAGTCATACTTGCCAGTCCAGATGACTGGCCTTGACATCAGCAGAGCAGTGAGAGCCCAGAACGTCCTTATCTCCGCCGCACACTTGGGGACCCCCAGGGCCCCCTGGCATTTAGCACCTTGCCAAGGTTGCAATGGCAATGGCAGATCTGTGCCCCCAAGCCGGGTGCCCAAGTCCAGGGCTGTGGCTCTTCCCAGGGCCGCCGCCAGACCCGGTCCAGACAGGGAAGGTGGCAGGAAGGGCGGCCCCAGCAGCGCCCTCTCCCCGCCAGGCAAGGACGAGGAGTTCATCCTCAAGCTCATCAACCGGCCCCTCCTGGTGCTGCGCGGCCTGGACGGCTTCGTCTGCCACCGCCGCGGCTCCAACCAGCTGGACACCAACCGCTCCGTCT